AGGGTTATAATTATAATTAACGTTCAGCTAACACTACTTTATTTTGAGGACTAGAAAAAAACACAAAAGGCTGAATTGAGAGTACCTTTAACTGATGAGTGTTTAAACTAGTTATATAGAATACTTACGTGGTAGAGTCATGCTCCAGATATAATAACTGTATAGTTATAACACGAATGGGTCGGCTCGACCGGGGAAGGACCACGCTCTCACAGAATACCAGAGTAAAATAGCAACTTAATGCTGCTGTGTTTCGTATGGTGAGTGTAGAGAACCGAAGACCTTTTTACTGGAAAAGAGGCATTCCATCTTAGTCCTTACGCAGATAACGCATCTGCATTTTGATTCGCAAACGAGGATAAATGTAGATATCTATGGGCCACAGCAACCACTTACCATCAGGTGGACTGTGTGCTCGCTTGTCACCCTTATCCCATAAAAATATAAAAAGGAAGGAGGAAGAGGTGTGTTAGGATCGTGTCAAATGGAAATCTGCCGGATCTGGAAGTGTGTCATGTGTCATGTGCATGTTAATGTCAAAGACATCCTTTTACACAGAAAACTGTTGACCAAAGAGTGATAAGAATAAACAGCTAATAGAAAGAAAAATTTAACTTTTCCTACAACGTTAGGGTTGCTAAAATCATGAGAGAAAGAAAAACAAAATTTATTACATTGAGACAACCCTAGCCAAAACCTTAATAGTTGATTCGGCTGTTCGCCTCAGATAATCGTCGACGTGAGATATACACTCGTTGTAGGCGTAATTCTCAATGACATAAGACCACATAGTCTTGGGATACGTGTTCCGATGCATACGAAATGAACTGTTTGTGATAAAACTTTACGAACAGAGAGCAATGCCATTAAAGCTATATTTATTGGGAAAACTTGAGGACTTATTTATGAAAAAGCTAATTTTTTTTAACAAATTGGTCTTTGATTTTATAAAATTTCAATTGAATCGGCACATGAACCCGGGCCGGGTTGATAGTTAAGAATTAAAAACTAATTTTACGAATTTTCATCATCATTATCATCATTAGGAATGCCACAATGCACGGTCCTGAGCCACCTGCATCCATCGACTTCCTGCATGTATTACCAGGTCTTGTAGGTGGTCGCCCTACACTACGCCTGCCGGTACGAGACTGCCACTCGAGAATCTTTCTTGCCCATCGGGTGTCGGTTCTTCGAGTTATATGGCCGGCTCAATGCCACTTCAGCTTGCTAATCCGTTGGCTATATCGGTTTATGAATTTTATCGCGTCTAATTTTCTAAACCTCTAACTTTTTCCCCACAGTTTCTACTTCTTCACTTCATTTCATTTATGGCAATCTCGTAGTAAAGAATTCTGCTAATGTCAAGTTTCGGGCGCTTTACACTATCTATGATCACAGGAAAACTGAGGTGTACACATGTAGCCTTTTTAACACATCATCTTTTTAATAAAAAAATATTTAATAGTTAAAGTTAGCTTAGTGAACTTTGATATTCCCCTGAACATAGTCGCTGTAAACACCTGAAATTTTGGGAATTAAGAAAGTTGATATACGCGATAAAACGTAATCATTTTTTTATTCTATATGTAGTATTCAAGTAAATGTAATAAATCGAAATTCATGGTTTATATTTTTTTATTTAAGTGATTGCAAAAGAAACTAAAATATAATCGCCTGCAATTATTTTTTGATCACTTTGGCCCATGGCCACTTGGAACCAACTTAGAACAAAAAATGTTATAGAAACATTGTTCCTCGCAGGACTAATATGGAATGCCTCAAAGGTACTCGTACTGACTCTCTATTCTCTGTTCGGACTGGAACCCAGCAGTGGATTGACCACTGATTAACGGCAGAAGGAGATATTTCCGGTTGTATCATAGTTGCATCGGACAGGGTGCACAGACTAAGAGAATCAGTACAATCATCATAGACATCATTTTATACGTAGCTGAGCCACGCTGCAACCTTCGTTCAGTTGGTATTGTTGATCGAAGGTTGCAGCTATATTATAATTGTAGCACGAATGGGTTCCGCTCGACTAAGAGAGGACCACGCTTTCACCGAAAAATATCGTAAAATAGCAGCTTAATGGTGGTGTGTTTCGTATTTCGAGTGTAAAGATCCGGAGACCCATTTTACTGGAAACGAAGCATTCCGTCTTAGTCCTCAGGGGTGACAACGCATCTGTGTTTTGATTTTTAATCGAGGATGAATGTAAATGACTACGGGCGACAGCATTCACTTACCATCAGGTTTACTGTGTGCTTATTTGTCACCCTCATTCTATATAATAAAAGTCTCATTCTAGTAAGCATTCATGTTGTTAAGTGACAGTGTAAAATAATCCAATATAAGTATATTAAGTGACATGCGGTATGTCACATATACTTCAAGAAACTGCCCCACTCCTTTCTAAAATGCTACTGGTGTTGCAGTTGTCCGTGGTCGGCGGTCGACACTTGACTTTGACTTCAAATGATCCGCATGCTCGTTTGCCAACACTTCTATAAAGAAATATAATGCCGTAGGTGTCGTAGCAGGTAATAGAGAGAAATGAAACACGGCACATTTTGAGATTCGTTGTCACTCCGGATTGCTAAGATAGAATGCTTGGACTCTGTCTGTAAAATTGGCCTCCAGTTCTTTTAACTCACCAAATGACACACAGCTGTATTAAGCTGCTTTTTAACTCTGGTATTCTGTGAAAGCGTGATCTTTTCCCAGTCGAATCAGCCCATTCGTGCAACGATAAATAACATAGCTGCACCGTGGCTCTACCACGTTTAAGATCATACTACATACCGAAATTGGCAGTCGGTGCTCTTTCAATGGTTGTGCTGATTCCTATAAGCAATGTAAACATTTTGACTCGGTTTAATTAAGAATCTTTACGTATAAGTTGATGCACAGAACCTCAGCAAAGTTAGGGACTTATAGGGAGACTTACATGGTAGACAAGGCAATGATGCTGCAAGATGAATAATCGGCTTGATCGAGGCAGAATGGATAGTGACGGGAACTCAAGACCCGTTTCATTGATAACGAGGTATCCCCATCTTAGTTCTTAAAGGTGATTTTTTTATCAGTGATAGAATCTTCGTTTTGTCACCCTTATTTTTTATAGACGAGCACACAGTTCACCTGATGGTAAGTCGACGCTGTGGTCCATAGATATTTACATTTATCCTCGATTTAGAATCATAACGCTGACGCGTTGTCATTCCTGAGGACTAAGACGGTCTTTACACTCACCATTACCACACAATACCTCACAGCACTATTGAGCTGTTACTTTACGCTGGTGTTCTGTGAGAGCGTGGTTCTTCCCCGGTTGAGCCGACCCATTCGTGCCACAATATTTGAAAATGTAAATATGTGCTATCCGTTAGGATGATCTATAACACAGGGATTACCCTAGTATAGACACCAGTCTCTCACAAAAGTCAAAATTGTCTACAACTGTATTATTTAAATAATAATGTGCTATACCTTTGTGAAGAGAAAATAAAATAATGATTTATTATTATTATTTATTATTAACCATAATGCAGCGGCAGCGTGGCTCCACCACGTTTTTTTTGCGTTACTTTTTATAAATCATTCCTTATTTTATATAATATATCTTTATTCCATAAAAGGGACTAAGATGCAATGCCTCGTTATCGGTACAAAAGGGTGTTCGTTTCACTGCACTTACTACGATGGTGATTATTCTAAGCCTGTGTATATAATTGATCGAAGGAGCCTGTTGAACTGACCTATTCATGATGTGGCTATACAACATGTAACATAATAAACGCACTTTGAGAAAGTAGTTTGTTCAGAATCGTTTACTGAATCGATTCCTATCATTTTTAATATAGGTAATTTTTTATCCCAAAAATAAATAAAACTATGTAAATTACAGTCACACTAATTCTGTACAGTCAAAACAAACTGAAATGGACCTTAACTTAAGGCAATAAGACTTTTAAGAGTGCAGTTTTATTTGTATTATTACTAATTCTGTCATTCAATAAAAATAAAGAAAAATGAACTTTATTACAAGAACGTTAAAGTCTTTGCGTTTGTGGTTTTGTACTGTGACCACAACATTTTTCGGGAATTAGTATAACTAATTTGATAAATAATCAGTGCATAAAAATGTTTAACTAAAAATTCAGTGTATGTATTATGATTATAACATAATATACTAATTGGGGTGTCTGAGGGTGTGCGTTAATTACGTTACATATTGTATACAGCTGCACAGTGGCTCTACCACTTAATTTTTGTCGCACCTGCATTTTGATTCTTAATCGAAGAAAAATGTAGATCTCTATGGACTACAGCATCCTTTTACAATTAAGAAAACTATATGCTTCTTTACCTTCCTTACTTGTAGAAAAAGGACCCAAAATAATGTTTATTCATCAGTCATATATTCGAATACTTGCCGAGTAAGCACTTACGAACCTTTTTCTCCGAATTTTCCTTTAAGCTTATAACTTTTGTTCGGACGATAAAACTCGTTTTACGCCTTTCGTCATTATCATTTTACTGACCTTTTACCAGTTCAGCAGTTTCCTTGTTCCATGTCTTCTTAGAATGTGATAGTGTCAATATTAACCAGATGCAATTAGTTTTTTTTTCGGTTCTCTACACCCATAATAAAAAAGTAAAAAACACAGCAGCATTGAGGTGATATTTTTCGCTGGAATTCTGTGAGAGCGTGGTCCTTCCCAGGTCGAGCCGACCTATTTGTGCCACAAACATTGCTGCAGCATCGTGCTATTGCGGATAATGTAAGTGTCATCCTTGAAATATTTTTCTAATCCCGGGAAAAACCCTGTAGCCCGTACTGTATGTCTTAATTGAACTAAGATTATATTGGTAGGTTGACGGTACACTTATCGGGTTATAGATTCGGTTCTATCAAAATCCTCCCTCCAGCGGATGATTTTTATGAGCTAATAGAGATGAAGGAGAATCTAACCTGACTTCTCTCGTTTCAGTGACACTGCAGTGGCAGAGCTCCGCTTCCTAACAGTGGACCAGGCACTAGCCGACCTAGCGCAGTTCATCCAGCACGTCCAGAGTGAGCAGTTCGATGATGGAAGGTTCAGGTGAAGAGATGTTAATATTTTACTAACCGATCTGATTTATTTATATTTATTTAAAAATATTTTATAACTAAACCCAACTTGCAAGAAAGAATTAATTACATGACATTTTTTTTAATTAACTATTACTATATTTAAATACACAATTAATTATTACTATAATTAAACACAATGTTGAATACATCACCACACAGCACGTTCATAGAGAAAGTGGGGCTTTCTACTATGGAGATACCCCGGGAATAGTGTTCTCCATAGCTCGCTAAGCGACCTTGAGTTTCCTTACTACAATGTATCAGTGGTCAGTGGTCACGCCCTGTATTCTAAACAGCTTGACAGACTAACATATCGGTTGTCTTTAATCTTAGCTGAGCTGTCTTAGCTGTTGAAGTGACATAGAGTACAAAATAGTTCTCTTTTCAGTAAATATTCAAGCAGTCTTCAAGTCTGGTTTATAAAATTGTCTGTAACTTGATATATGCCTTTCCGACTCCATATGTTATTTTAAGAGGATTTGCCTTAATGTATTGGTAGGCGCAGTGATAGTGTAGTGTATGTAAAATATACACTATCAATGGGTAGGCGCATTGGAGTACTACCAGAACTTGGACATTGCTTTCTTTCCATCACTCTTCAGGATATTAAAATATATAAGGCATGTGTATGTGAGGTTAAAGTGGTCACCTTAAGCTGTGCCGCTTGTGTGCCGCCCATACAATCAAAACTAGGAGAGGAACAGAGACAAAAACACAATTTCGTATACTATAACTAATATATTAATAAAAAAATTGCAAACAAGCTTTGCCAACAATTAGGAACACTTCGGAAAAACTACTTAAAAAACTAACCACACTACACCATACTAAAATCGACTAAAATATTTACTATAATGTCAACTGTCAAAATGGCGTCGATAAAACATCGTCCCTTTGACCCTTTATTATTTTTGATTGACTGAAGAGCTATCGAATCACAAATCCATCTATGCAAAAAAAAGGATGTAGTTTTTGAGTAATAAGAAAGCGTCCATATTAACCGGATAACCATATTACCCTCACGTACTATAGGTATATAGTACCCAGATGACCGAGCTTTGCTCGGTTTTTTTAAATTACATTTATATACAAATTATATGAATAATATTTTTTGATCTTATTGACATAATAAAAAAACTGAACTGGTTATTTGAATAAAAAATCATGAGTGCAATTAATTTAATTAAAATTTTCGTATTTTTAAAATACTAAAAAAAGGGCTCGAAATAATAGATTTTCTCACAAAAGAAGGGAACTTGAAAAAAAATAGAAAAAAAGTCGGACACAAGACGGGACGCGAACCAAGGCATTACGATTTAAATTGTTAATGTTTTACTGTTGGGTGAAGGTCTTTATTGTTTTAATACTATTGGGTAAGTGATTAAATACTTTAATTGATGTTATGTGTGCACTTTTGTCAAACAATTTATTTTTAATTTGAGGTAGATAAAAATTGTTTTCGTAGCAAGGGCGTAAATTTTGCCATTTCGAAAGTTTCGTTTCGAATAAATCGCAATTATTTCTAATAAATAGGCACAACTTTAAGATATGTATTCCAGTTAAAGTTAAAAAACTTTTTTCTTTAAATAAATTCCTCAGGCTGTCTCTATTTGTTTTACGGTATATGATGCGTAAACATCGTTTCTGTAGTATAAACGTTTCATTTATGTTGGTAGAATTACCCCAAAAAATTATACCATAGATTAACAGTGGATAAATATAACCATAGTACGCATTTCTAGTAACAGATTCAGAGGTTGACCAAGAAAGTATTGAAAGAACATAGCAATAACTCGATATCTTTTTGTTAATGTTTTCTATGTGTGATTTGCAATTTAGGTGAGAAGATAAATTTTGATCATTAACATAGTATCAAAATTTTTCTTCTTATATTGTAGCAGTTTTTCATTGCCTGAAAACACGGACAAAAAGACATTTTCTAAAAATAAATCCTAGCTAGATCGATTTATTGCCCCCGAAACTCCCTGGAATTTTATGAAAACCTTGTAGCCGTTTCCGAGATTCCGATTATATATATATATACAATAATTGCTCTTGAAATAATTTTATTCTTTTAGTTTTGAATTTTGAATTTTCATTTCGGAACAGAAGGGCATATATAAAGCTATAGACGGTAAAAGATTGAAGAACGAAATATCGGTATTCGATTCGGTTTTTTTTTTCACACAATACAAATGACGATTAGTGAAAAGGAAAAACCGATAATTACTGTAATTTGCACAATGTTGTCATGTGTGGTCGGAAATCCCTTATAATACTAACGGTAGTGAATTGTCAACCATAGAGATGATGAGGGTGGAATATCGAGTATTTATTTATAGAATGAGGGTCACAAACGAGCACACAGTGCATCTAATGGTAAATGGATGCTGTGACACATAGACATCTATATTTGTCCTCGATTAAGAATCGATATGTAGATGCGTTCTCTCTGAGGAATAATATGGAACGTCTCTTTCTTGTAAAGAGGGTCTATGGTTCTCTACACTCACCATACGAAGCTTAATGCTGCCGAAGCTTTGTATGATAATAACTTCTGAGACCGGAATCTTTGGCTAAATTTAGATCGTAAACATATTTTTTTCTAAATTTAGATGATACTTACCGCAAACGAGCTGACATCTACCCACTCGTGAGGAAGTATCGTATATACGGATACTGCCCACGCACTCAGCTAACATACCAATATTAAAACATCCTCTTTCAAGTATAGTTTCCACGAATATCGTAGTTCAAAACGTCTGCAAATTTGTTTACTCTAGTCTTTTTTAATCAGACACATCTCTTCTACTTCTATCCAAATTCAAAAAAATGATGGTGTTTAAAATTCGACTGTTGCTTTTTTTTACGTGAATACTTCCTTAAATTTGCTTCTATAGTAGAAGGCAATTTAGAAAACTGATGATAACTCGACCAAGTTTAGGTCACGACGGCCAGCCTCAATGGTGACTAGCCATCGGCGTAGGTTAGCATTATAGTGCAAAAGTAAGGTAAAGAAATGGGTGTCAGAATGATGACTGAAATGAATTTTCCAGAAATGGGTCGAATGACGCGAAGCACAGTTTGGAAGGGCAGTTGCACTCTCTATTCCCTCACTCTCATAATCCGATGGGACGGTAAACCGACACGACCGGCGAGAGATCAGGCGCAGGACCAACGGCTTTACGTGGTTTTCGAGGTCACTCTGCCAACTTCCCGACTCCGAGCAGCTACTAAGAATTTCTTGACGAAAAACCCCGGATTCGAACCCAGGACCTCATGATCAGCAGTTGCACTACTACAACCACTACACCAATGAGGCAGTCATCTACTGCTTCTGATATTCGGTTATCCATCTTGAAGGCCGAGTGATTAGTCTCGACTTCTTCCACGAAGCAGTCAGCAGTTACCTGTGAGTGAGTTTCCTCTTTTTTTTGTGTTTTTTGGGGGAAGGAAATAAGGTCTTAAAGAATGTGGGTGGTTTTCCTTTGTGTTTCTATTTACTCGTTGGTGGTAGCTCAGATGATTAGCGCTCGCTGTATTGTACGCGAGCAAACGGGTTCGATCCCCGCCGGCACCAATGACATTTTTAATTGCAATTTTAAGTGCTGATTTGCCACGTGCTGGAGTGCACGTGAAGGAAAACATCGTGAGGAAACCTGCATGTCTGAGAAATAAGAAAAAAATATTTCGAAGACATGTGAATTTTGCCAACATGCATTGGAGCAGCATGGTGGACAATTCCTTACTCTAAAACCCTCTCAGAAATAAGCCGAGGCCTGTGCCCAGGACGTATAACTTTAAAACTGTAACTTTAAAACAGTCTTAGGGTTCAGCCTCCGCAGAGTCTACTTTACCTGAGGATGCCAGGTTTAGACGTGAAACACGTGTGGTATTTTTGACGGTAGTGTGTATATCGTAGTATAGTGGTGTTGGTAGTAACGTTGCTGCAGTTGGTGGTGACTGGGATTGTACATGCAATTGAGGGAGGGCGGGAGGTGCTTTTCACTGGGATTTCTATTACGCGGATCTTATTATAATGGATTTCCGCAAACACCTGATTCTTTTAATAATTAAATAAGTGTGATTATGACAAACTCTCCTTGCAACGGGAAAGATCATGCATACAACCTGCAAGCGTCTCATCTGCATTTTGACAGCGCATCTTCATCTTGATTCCTAATTGAGGATTGATGCAAAATCTATGGGGAATGGGCCACAGCATTTACTCATCATTCACTGAACTGTGTCCTCACTTGTCACCCTTATTCTATAAAAATATCCAGAAGCAAACTTTTAAAAGCATGTAAATAAGAAGAAGACAAGAATGTGATTATTTGTATTCTCTTCCAGATGGTAAGACTCTACTTCTGCCTAGAAGTTTGTCTGGATAGATACCATCCTCTTACCGTTATTTTCTACGAAACAGCAGTGCATGCACTACTGTTAATTACGAGAATTCCTTCATTGTCTTCTAAGGTGACAACGCATCTGCACTTTAGATGTGAAACACGTTCGACGACTCCGTGGCGCAGTGGCTTAGCAATGAGTGGCTGCGCTGGGGGTCGTGGGTTAGAATCCCACGCGGAACAAATATTTGTATGGCCTACAAATAATTGTTCCGGGTCTGGATATCTGTCCTTGTGCAATTTATGTTTGTAAACTGCCCCCACGATACACGAGAAAATCCTAGTGTAGGGGTAACGTTTTTTTTTTTTAATAAATAACTTTGATTCGTAATCGAGGATAAATAATTATATATGACTATGAACCACAGCATCCACCTACTTCTGGGATTTTATTAAAAATAAAATGAGAGAATAAATGACTTGCTAAAAATAGAAGTGTAATCCAAATTTTTGGTGATTTTACAAGATGGCGCCCTTCTAGTCATAAAATTATATATTAAATGTCATGTCTGACAAGGTACTTGAGTCATTAAATAATGTAGGTAGTATGATATTTTTTGTTTATTCCGAGCATTATCCGAGCTTGTTCGTGTAGTTGTGAACTGGTTAATGGTTTATTATGTTTATTTTGGATTTTTTTGGCAATTTGGTTTTTTTTATTGGACTTTGGATCTAGTAGGTAGTAAAAAAGATCTGTAAATAACTACTAGTACTTGACTCGGCTTTTTTATGGTCTTCACAATTTACGTGTGATTTTGATTTCGTTGATATCGGACATCTGTAGATCGTGTTCTATCAAAAAATACAACCTTTTTTGCCCTCCTTCGAACTAGTTTCGAGACATTTTAGCCATTGTACCATAATAAATCTATCTGATAGGCTATCAGTGATAAGAATAACACAGAATTTCAGAATTCAAATATCTGTCAATAATTGATCAATAACCTAATGACAGTTGACAGCTAATGTCAAAACATCAATTCTCCATTAGTGTTGCAGTTTTTGGTAAGAGTAAAATATTAATACCACTGAAATAAATTTGTTTATGATATGTTACCTACGTAATAGCAAGGACACCAAAAGAAAAAAAATAATAGTATAAGGTAGGTACTTTTAATTCGGCCATCTTGAGTGTATCGCCAATTTGGTCGAATATCTTTCGCCTAGGGCGTCCTTTGCTGACTCAGCCACTTACTTCTACAGCATGAATTCATCTTTCATTCATTCTGTGTCTAAACCACCGAAGCCTTCGATCAACAACACCAACTAGATGTCGAGTCGGCGCAAGAAATCCATCTCAGTAAATAAGAGCGCACATGAGACGTGAGCTCTTGCACGTGAGAGTAGCTCGTCGCTCATTTGGCAAATTTGAGGCCTTGAATGACCAAAAGTGGTATAATATACGATTACAATTTATTTTCCCGCTTGTACAAAACCAGGGCTACGCTTCATACAATTTTGAACCGTCTCCTTTACAAAAAAAAACTACCAGACCCGCATGGGCTTTTATCCAAAAAAGTTAGGTACTTTATTGTTGCTCTAAATGGTATGTATATTTTACGGCCTTTACTGCTAGCGGATACCGAGAGTCTTGGTTCACAATGGTCTCGAGAGCCGATCTCGAGTCACTGTAAGCCCCAAAGCTTACTTCAGCACTATTGAGGATTTGCTTAGTTGCCCTGTAAAGTAAAGGCAATTCTGCCTCGAAAACAGTGAAATAGTCCCACAGTTTAAGCTTAGACTGGATCTCAGCTACACTATTATAAATGGAAAGTTCTGCTCTCACCTCTCCCTCTATTTTGTGCCCGTCGGTAAATATTCGGAGACCTCAAGACCTTATCTGTTTACACAGAGGCGGTAAGGTGTCGCTAGTCGGCTGTTCCTACGCCGGCAGCATGGCCACATGGATGCGTCTAGCCTATCCTCACCTGGTGGCAGCTGCATTCTCAGACAGCGGTCCACTACACGCCCAGGAAGATTTTCCAGGTGAGATCCAATCAAAAATAATAGCGAAATAGAAGCTTAGTGATAGAGTTACTTATTTCGATGGTGGTCTCCATAGTGGTCACCATTAGTATGTACCAGTGATTCAAGGATATTTTTCCGGAACGTAACCGGCGCTCTACCATCACTTTACTTTACTAGGCGAACGATGAACCGGGACGTGCCCCGGTAACAGCACTTTCTACTACCAACACCAGAGATATCACGATGCTTAAGTTTAAGGCGTTCAGGGCCATCATCTAAGGGAGGCCGTAACTAATGTCGTTCCGAGCGGGATGTGTTCTCTCCCGATATAGCTCAGCAACTTTTTGGGAGATTAATTATCTCAAACACGTTCAAATTCCGACAACTGAAATAATGAGTTACTGTAAAGGAAAAGCCATAAGCCAGATATCCTTCATGTTGCTCCCATAAAAAAGGCATTTTCGAATTAATGTGCCGATCCCTAGCGCTACGTTCTCAATTAACTGAGTATTCCATTTGCAGAAAAGGTTGGCACTCTGAAAATCTTCATTTTCTCCCTAAGCTTCCGCCGAGGGGGTAATCAGTTAAATACCCACCCACGGTGGTCACTATCAGCGTATACGAAAGGTCCCGAAACTTCCGTTCGAAACGAACGTTCGAAACTAACTACAATGCATTGCGTAAGTAAAGAATACCCACATATAGGAGGTTTTTATATACAGAAAATTAAAGGATAAAGGTGTTTCTCTTACATTTTCATCGTTTGTCAATGGAAACTCATTTCATAAACGGAAATAACTTTGCAGAAAACAAAATTTTACAGCAAATTTTTATTTCTTACATCGAAAAAATGAAGTAATTCATTTCATTTCATGTAATAATATCTTCCAGACCGAATTACGGCCACGGTGGCCGGTCCCAATGCCTAGCCATCTGAACAGGACAGGATTATAGTGCATGAGTTTGTGCGCAAACACAGGTGACCTCTCTATTCCCTCACTCACATAGTCCTATGAGACGGCAGTTCGACACGTCCGGAGATAAATGACCAACGTGCTACTCAAGGCACGGGAGTAAAACACCGCCAACTTCCTGATATCGGGTTCCTACTGAGAAATCCTTAAAGGATAACCTAATAACTGATTTTTGACCCGACCTGGATATTACCAGCATCACTTGATCATCATTGTCACTTACAACCTAGACCAACTAGATCAACGAGGTAGTCAATCATTCTAAACTTATTTCATGTATAGAATATCTGGAAGTCATAGCGGAAGCCCTACGCACTCAAGGCAGTGAAGAGTGTGTAACGAGCATCGCTGAAGCTGTCGAGGATATGGTGCAACAGCTGGCCACAGAGAGCGGGGCTAACACGATCTCGGAAATGTTCAAGTTAGTAAGAAAATAAACCTCTCTAAAAAGAATGGGATCCCACATCGGCCTAACAATCATGGGCTCGTATAGTAAATTGGTGGGGTATTACCACACTTATCAACCATATTTATAGTCACCATGGCGCCATTTTCTATCACCAGATCTAATGAATCAATCATCCCGTTCTATGAAAGATTTCACTTATTCGTCATTTTATACGTGGTATAGCCACGCAGCTATATTATGATTGTATCATGAATGAGTCGGCTCTACTGGGAAAAGACCACGCTCACACAGAATACCAGCTTAAAATAGCAGCCTAATACTGCTGTGTTTCGTATGGTGGGTGTAGAGATCCGGAGACCCTTTTTTACTGGAAACGAAGCGTTCTATCTTAGTTTGGGGTGACAACGCATCTGCGTTTTGATTCTTAATCTCTATATAGTCTATGGGCGACAGCATCCACTTACCATCAGGTGGACCATGTGCTCCTTTGTTACCCTCATTCTATTAAAAAAAACTCTCGGAATGAGGATTGACGATTGCAAAACCAGACGACCAGCATTTTCGACGCCACTATGCATCGCTGGTCTGGTCTTTTTCATGTTTTGTGTTACAAAATTGAATGGAAAAATTAAATTACAGTAAGTGACTACCCTAAAAAATTCTTGAATATAGAAACATTAAACAACAAATTAGTACGTGGTACATATAACCTTGGGAAACAGAAGAAAAGTAGAGCTATGTTTAAGGCAAAGAAAATACAAAAGCATTCTTAAATTCATTAGATAAGGAAACACAAAAAATATCTCGATGTGAAACTGAAGATTTAGTCCTACTACAGTAAAATAGAAACAGCGATATTACAAAGTATAAATAACACAAGCTCAAAAAAAGAAAAAAGGATATCAGCAGAAACAAAGACTTTGATAAAAAGAAGATTAGAGCTACAACGTAAAAAACCTAAAAATAGAAAAGAGAGGCAGGAACTCTCTAACCTATATAAAAGTACAAACAAGACCTTAAAAAAGACTACAATAATTATAGAATGAAAATTATAGAAACAAATTTACTAAAGTCTGAAAGCCAAAAAAGGGCGTTCAAACAACTTAATACTAGCAAAACATGGATTCCAAAGCTACAATCAACAATTCCAAACAAACATACGTTAACAAGAATTGATATAGTTAAAGCTGCCTCTGATTTCCACAAAAATCTATATTAAGCTATCAAAACTGTAGTAAAGAAATCGAAACAAGCTACAATCAAGTTCACACCCCGAGAACTCTAATACTAACTCGACCAGTCAAACCGGTTGAAGAGAAGGAAATAATAAGGCAAATAGCCATGACCCTCTCAAACTAGGAAAATTCTTACTGGCTAGTCCCCTTACAACTTTTTTTTAACAAAATTTTGCTAGAACAAAAAGTACCTTTGAATTGGGCAGAGTCGAGAATCATACTTCTTTACAAGAAAGGCGACCCATCGCTTACTTCCTTACTTACTTCCTGCTGTATACAAATTACTTGCAGCCTGCTTAAATAAGAGAATAGAGACTGAGATAGAGTCACATCAACCCATAGAACAGGCAGGCTTTAAAAAGGGCTTTTGCACGATGGATCATATACATACTTTGGAATAAGTAATTGAAAAACACCAGGAATATCAACAGCCCCTATATCTAGCCTTTATCGACTACGCAAAGGCCTTCGACTCTATCTCACATAACAGCTTATGGCGAGCGCTAGAAAACCAAAATATTCCAGAAACCTTTATAAACATCCTGAAAGATATCTACAGCAAAAGCGTAAGCCGTATAAAGCTCGATAGGCTTGGACCAAAAGTTGAAATACGTAGAGGCGTGAAACAGGGGGGCCCGTTATCCCCCACTATATTTATATCTATCTTACAGTATATAATGAAAGACTTACATTGGCAATATAAAGGTATCAGCATAAATGGAAAAAATTTGAGTAACCTTAGATTCGCCGATGATACTATGAATACTCTTCTCGAGATCAGCGAAACAACTAGAAGAAATGATATCAGAACTATGCAAAATAAGTAACAGAATAGGACTACAACTAAACACAATGTTTTTTATTAAAAATGTAGTTGTTGTTGTATTTTATATATTGTAAAGTTTTTTTTTTTTTTTTTTTTTTTATAAAATTTTTTTTTTAAAAGTTTCCCCTTTTTTTTTAAATAATTTTTTTTAATTTATATTTTTTAATGTGTTTTTCATTTAAAAACAAAGGTGATGACTAACCACAGGCAAACGCACGTTAACAATTTACAGAGCTTAGAATACGTAGAGAGCTACATATACCTCGGGAAATCCATCTCATTTCTTTATTCTACAAACAAAGATGAGATTGAGAGGAGAATAAACATGACATGGAGAAAGTTCTGGAGCTTAAAAGAAATATTAAAGTCTAATCTACCTGCAAAAGTGAAATAGAAAGTCATGGATGAATGTTTACTACCCTACTTGTCATACGGATCACAAAGAAAGCAAAGAAGAGAAAATCCTGGAAACTGTTGGAGGAGGCCTATACCCGCCAGGGGCCTTAACTTAGCTATAAAAATGTGCATTATACAGTGTGTCCGGTCACGGACTAGCGATATTTTAGGTACTTATAATACAGCTATTTTAATATAAAAATACACTACACACTGAGGTCTAATCCCCTCCCCCTCTATTTGGCAGCCATTTTGTTTTTTTCTTGAGATATTCTCTACGCGTTTACTAAAAAAGTCATATCTCTCAAAGTTTTAGTCCTACTGAGATAAAAATTAACTCATTCGGAGGCCAATAATATTGTTTATCGTTTACATTATCAAAATTTTTGTTGACATACTTGTAACTTTGAAGAAAAAAAATTTAACTTCAAATAAATATCAAAAAAAATATGCTAATCGGCAAATTATTGTAAATTACTGCAAAAACAACCCCGTTTACCCTTCTTATTTTTATACTAGATCGACAGATTTTGAGTTAAGCTATAATGCAACATAAAGTTTACAGCTGTATGTTTATTACTTTAAGAATTATTGTTGTTTGAACATGGCGTATGCCCAAACACAAAAGGCCTTTGTTAAGCGACAACTGGCACTGCCTGCCTAGGAGTAATAGTGTTCTGTGCTGCCTGCTCTCATATTATACTACTTATAAATGATGATTCTGATTCTCTGATCTCTCACGCATCATCTCTAATTCATCGAAGATCATAAGTAATCTCAGATTACTATTACTCCTAGGCAGGCAGTGCCAGTTGTCATTTAACAAAGGCCTTTTGTGTTTGCGCATATGCTATGTTCAAACAACAATAATTCATAAAGTAATAAAGATACAGCTGTAAACTTTATGTTGTATTGTACCTTAACTCAAATTCTGTCGATCTAGTATAAAAATAAAAAGGGTGAACGGGGTTGTTTTTGCAGTAATTTACAATAATTTGCCGATTAGCATATTTTTTTGATATTTATTTGAAGTAAAATTTTTTTTCTTCAAAGTTACAAGTATGTCAACAAAAATTATGATAATGTAAACGATAATCAATATTATTGGCCTCCGAATGAGTTAATTTTTATCTCAGTAGGACTACACACCACAACACGAAGATTTTATATGATGTATACTGGTCTGACCACTTCCCACTCTTGATTGAATGTAGGTTGAACTATGTTATACCTAAGGTGCAATAAAATAAAATGGGGCTGCAGAAATGATGAACAAATAACTCATTATACGGAATTATGTAACAACAACCTTAAGTCAATACATTTTCCATCAGAATTTATAAAATGTAGCTATGGTTATTGTGACGATATGAGTCATAGGAGTGTCGTAGACAATTTATATAAAAACATAGTGTCGGTTTTATCATGTGCAGCAATCAAAACTCACAAAGGAAATATGTGTAAAAAGAAAAAAACGTGAGCTAATAGGGTAGAATAAGCATGTTGGTGAGGCACACAGGGAGGCTAAGTCCAAATTTATGATGTGGGTATGGTATGGTCGACCGAGGCAGGGTTTTGTCTATGATGAGATGGTTATCAGCCGCCGTGTTTTCAAGAGTAGATTGAAGTGGTGCCAAAACCACCAAAATCAACTAAAAATGGATAATTTGGCTACTTATCATTCAAAATAAGATTTTAAGAAGTTTTGGAAATCCACGAATAAGCTCAACGTTGGACCTAGTCTTCCTGAAGCAGTAAATGGGGTTGAGGGGGTGGGGGTTTTTTTTTGTTGGCCGCTGGTGGGTGTTATAGGGGGGGGGGAGGTGGGGGAGACGGGGGAGGTGGTGGCGCCAAGCCTCAGATGGTGGGGGCAGTGACATGAAGCAAATTGCAGATCTCTTCAGGGATCATTTTATGGTCACGTCACCCTTAGGGCCGTCGTCACACCCCGTGTCCAATGCTGAAACCAAGCGTGAACTCAAAATGGTAGCAAGTGACAAAATGATAGCACGAGTTATTAGAACTATGGTTGCAGGTAAGTCACCCGGTCACCATGGTCTCAGTATTGAGCACTTTAAATATGCAGGTGTGCACTTACCTAGAGTTTTGGCACTATTATTTAATGTTTGTGTCTCGCATACCTACTTGCCTGCCGACTTAATGAGGACTTCAGTTGTTCCCATTGTAAAAAACCGTACTGGTGACGTATCAGAGAGATCGAACTATGGACCAATATCCTTGGCAACGACAATAGCCAAGATATTTGACAGTATGCTTAACTCTATTCTAGAAAATTACTGTATGCTACATGATGGCCAGCACGGCTTCTCGCGTGGTCTATCAACAGAAACAGCAATAATGAGTTTAAAGCATACTGTCAAATACTACACGGACAGGCGCACCCCAGTGTATGCCTGTTTCCTAGATCTGAGTAAAGCTTTCGATCTTGTCTCGTACGACATCTTATGGCGTAAGTTAGAAGGCGTAGATTTACCTTGTGGCTACACCAATTTACTCAAGTATTGGTATAGTAACCAAGTGAACTATGTGAGATGGGCGAATGAGTATTCTGAGCCGTACAGGATGGAGTGCGGGGTTAGGCAAGGGGGGCTGACATCACCGAGGCTTTTCAACCTGTATATGGACGCCCTGATTCGAGAGCTCAGCAGCATGCGTGCCGGCTGCCATATCGGCAAGGTGTGTGTGAACAATATCAGCTACGCGGACGATATGGTTCTGCTGGCACCCTCAGTTAGTGCGATGAGAGCTCTACTCGGTGTTTGTGAAAAATTCGCTGTCTCACATGGTTTACTATACAATACCGAAAAGTCGCATTTCATGGTATTTAAGGCTCGCAGTAAATGTCCTAGTGTGGTACCACCTATAAAGCTTTATAATGAACCGCTAGAAAGGGTCTATAGTTTTAAATATCTTGGACATATTGTGACTGACAGCCTTAAAGACGATGAAGACATTGAAAGAGAACGTAGGGTACTGTCGGTCAGGGCGAATATGTTGGTGCATATATTTGGTCGCTGCACTGACGCTGTCAAGATCACGCTTTTCAAAACATATTGTGCGTCATTTTATTCTTGCAGTCTATGGACCAACAAAAATACACCAAAAAGACTTATAGTGCCCTACGTACTCAATACAACAAGGCATTCAGGGCGCTGTTGCGGCTGCCGCGCTACTGTAGCGCGTCTGCGATGTTTGCACTGGCGGGTGTGGATAGTGTTGATGCAATAATACGAAAAAAGACCGCATCTTTGCTAAACAGAGTGCGCGGCAGCGACCACAGTGTGCTGAGTGAGATTGCCAACACTGGGGACTGCCCACTGATCGAAAAAATGATCTCCAGGACCATGTCCTGCTTAATAATTAAATATTAAAATAAAAAAAATAAAAATGTATAAATTATATTACTAACATAGATGTAAGTTTTTCTCTACTAACAATTCCTATGGATTTCAAGTTGTCCGAAATAAACAATTTTTATTTTTATTTTTTATTTTTAAAACTTTGAGAGATATGACTTTTTTCGTAAACGCGTAGAGAATATCTCAAGAAAAAAACAAAATGGCTGCCAAATAGAGGGGGAGGGGATTAGACCTCAGTGTGTAGTGTATTTTTATATTAAAATAGCTGTATTATAAGTACCTAAAATATCGCTAGTCCGTGACCGGACACACTGTATATTAATAATATGTACAATCTTATTATAATCCAAAATTTTATTTAGTTTTATAACTCTGTAAGTGAAGGAAAATAAAAGAGGCCTTATTATTATTATTTATTATTAAGTGACTACTGTAGTCCAGGACACCCGCACCCTACTTTAAAGAACGCAGACTACAGAAGCGTTGTACCACTGAAGACTGATATTGGATACCTTAGACAGGAACACAGCAGCAGCAGGTGCACGCAATTCTGTTATGCGACATAAATATGTAAGAAGACCCACCACCACCTCCATGCAACCTAGTACCTACCTAGTCTGGCGTAAACAAGATGGTAATACCACCAGCTATAAGATTTTTGCATTTTCCGTAGACGTTTTTCCTAAACCCATGGGAATAAATGGGGCGATGGATTTTAGAAGCACATTATATCTACACGATATTTGGAAGAAATACCTGTACCACTATACATAAGAAGCCAGAAAATCTTCCAGGCGTTTCCTCATTCGATTCTAATTTATTTACTACGTGATCGCTCATTAAATTCAACGTTGTAACGAAGCCTAATATGTGGCAGTTTCGTGGTCAATGTATGAGATTCGTTAACTCGCACCGCGTCGCGTTACTTTCTAACATTACTTACTCATGTAAGTATCTCTCGCTGCAGGACACACTCCCCTTTCATGAGAGGAGTGTGTCCAGCAGCGAGAGCGACACACCTAAATACTCTCATTTTCGATTTACTTAACAGTACCTGCTCACCCATCAATGGCTCCAATCCATTGGACGTCGCCACATTCTTCTGGTTTGGCATCACAGAGACGTTTGCGTACCTCGTCCAGTACGCCAGGCCTGGTGACATTCCAGCAGCGTGCGAGGTTCTCACCAATGTTAACGTTAGTAAGTATTGACCAATGATTTCAAAAGGAAGGATAGGCCCTTCTAAATATTTTACTCATAACTTTTTCATACAAGAAAAAGTAGCGCATCTGTCATAATACAAACGTCATATCAAAACACGACGTAACCAGGGTCGGATTTCTTTATGATTTAATTATCCTAATTGTATCATTATTTCATAGTTTGTAGTATATAGTATCGTAATAATACAAAGCGAAAATACCATAAATTTACCTAAAGGTCGACTTGTATTATTATTGGGTCCTTTTAAATTTTAATATTAACCCTACGATATCGAGAATTTTCGAATTGTACATGAGTACCGCGTTTTTTAATAAAATTTGAATTAGCTCCCTTTCTGGTCAATCGATGCTCGATCAATGCATTTATGTTGCATCCTTGATACAACTTTAATGAGGAGCGACCAAGATAAAAACTCTATGCTCCAGAAACAATCGGTTTGAAAACAGAATTTCAAAATATTTTATGAATCAGATTTTCAACTGAATATAAAATATATTAGGTACCAATTTTCAAAAATTAACGTACACTAGGTTCTTTAAACAAAAAATAAACAGAAATAAAAATAAAATCGTCAAAAAACGAAACGTATAGATAAACTAGACGCGTGACGCCAAAAATGAAAAATGAAACGTCAAACGTGATATAATTTTTTTAAATAGTATAATTTTAATTTCCATGTACAGTATTTTTGAGAGTCTGAATCCAGCCCTGGCCTAATCTTGGTGACGTAACTAAATTAACTGTAAAATAAAACTTTAAAATTTTATAGTAACAAAATTAATATAAGGTTATTTACCGATGATACGATATCCCATGTTTTATTTTAAATCTTTGTTTCGTAATTTTTGCATTCGTTTACCACGCAGTTAGACATATTTACGACAGGCAAATCTGTCCTGCGCGCGCACTACTGTTGACCGATTCGCGTTGGCGAAAATCACTGGTCCGTTTCAGTTGTTCGGTCGGCCCGGTCCTTACGCTAGTAATATATGAGTCAATGGTATTAACTCTAATGTTAGTACTCCTTAACCTCTAACTTTGAGTTTAATACTTAATTGTATAAAATATTTTATTGTAAATATATTTTCTTTAAAGTCCCGCTGGTTTTCTTGCTGATTCTTCCCAGGACAGAGGTTTTTTCCAAACCAGTGGTAAATCTTAAATAACTTTCAGTAAATATTCTTGTAATCTAAATTAAATAAAAAATATTACATTGTATTATATTCTAATAAAGTATATTACAATTTTGACATATTGTAATGTATTCTTTTAATCTTATTTTATGTAATCAATTTGACAATGACATTTTGCTTAATTTATTTGACATGATGTAGATCTATTGGACATGTATTCTTTAATCTGTTTGACCTTTTGACATGTATCTTATATTATTAATAGTATACTAAGATGGAATGTCTCGTTTCAAGTCAAAGAGAGTATTTTTTATAGAATTAGCGTGACAAACGAGCACACAGTCCACCTAATGGTAAGTGGATGCTGTGGCCCATAGAGATCTATATTTAACCTCGATTAGGAATCAAAATGCAGATGCATTATCACCCCTGAGGATTAAGATAGAATGCCTTGATTCCAGTAAAACGGGTCTCCGGTTCTCTACACTCACCATACGAAACTCAGCAGCATCGAGCTGCTATTTTACGCTGGTATTCTGTGAGAGCGTGGTTTAAACCTACCCTTTCGTGCTACAACCATAATATAGTTGCAGCGTGACTCTAGCAGCTATAAAAAAACCACGTCTTCAGGAAAAGGTCTCCGAAACAGAATACAGAATGTTATTTTACGCTGAAATTCTGTGAGGGCGTGGTCCTTACAGAATCCCCAATTGAGCTAACCCATTCGTGCTACAACTACACTTCAGTATGGCTCTACTACCACCCCTACTACCACGCCACATACAGCAGCATTTATTATCATATAATTAAATCATTGAAATATTTCAAACATTCTTAATGGACCATTCCAGCGGACCCTGTGCGCCGTTTAGCCAACTGGATAACGGCCCAGTCCTGGACCCAGCCGTGCATTGAGAGCCGCTATAGCGAGCAGGTGGCCGCGCATACTAACACCAGCTACGACGCTAGTGACGCTAACAGTAAGTAATGTTCTCCTTAAAATCCAGATGGAAGGACTGCTTTACTGCCTAGGAGTCTGTCTGGGTACGTGAAAACTCTTATCCATTTCTGCCACCAAATTGCACTCTAATATAGCATTGATAGAATATAGCACTCAGTGATAGAATATAGCATTCAGTGATAAAATATAGCACTTAGTAATAGAATATCGTACTCAGCAATAGAATATAGCACTCAGTAATAGAATAATTCCGGTCTGAAGGGTTTAAGAGCCATTAAAGTTATAGCCTGTGAAACATTCCATCGTAATTTATAAAAATAAATAAAATGGAAGTATCTGTTTGTAATGTCAAAATAACAGCTCCTTACTAAATGCTTATGAAATTATATACAATACTTATAACAAAAAAAAAGCATTTGTGTACTTCTTTCGAAGTTAAAACTTAAAATGAAATAAAATATAAAACCAAAATATTTCACAGCTAATAATTAATTTCATTAGATAGTTTTCGACCACACGTTCGGCGTATAAATATAAGATGAAAGTTTAATTTTATAGCAAACATATATGTTACAATCCTTATTTTTAGATATATCGAGCCTAAATTTGTGTGTATCAAATCCATCAAAAGAATATTTGCTTTCGAGCTTTGTAATAGCGCCATCTATTTCATTCCATAGGTAAAGTCTTTTTAAATTTGATTAACTTCCAAGGTGGTACGTACAATAGACCCTAGATGGTATGAATTTATGAAATCGTAGATTGTTAAGAATCGTTTGGATATGATAACTTTATTCAATATAATTAATTTTATTTATTTGATAAATTTGTATTTTTATTTTATTTTAACAGTTAAAAGTTATATAAACCTTCTTTAATGCACCGAATACAGAGGAGGCCGCGATAATATGAAACACTTTATACTACACTAGCTATGGCTGGCTTTGAGACATGACACCTAGCTTATAGAGATATAGGGGCGTTAATTGCTGTTTTTTCTCGATTCTCATCCCGCGCCGAGTCGAGCGTTGAATTATTATATATTTTATTTATAATATATTTTTATATTTTTCATTATACCTCTTAAACTATGCGTCTAAATAACATGCTATAACAAACAAAGTTTATCTTCACAAAATTGTCTAGATGTTGAAGTAACTTTCATTCTTAAGGATCAATATGCCACGCCTAATAATAACGCTCATAAATTACTTTTTAAATAAACAAACATAAACACTCACGCCTGTCACCCAGAGGGGTAGGCAGAGACTACAGACTTCCATTTAGCACGATCCTGACATACCTCTCTCGCCTCTTCCACATCCATATACCTACACATACATGCTCGTCAGTTAAGGGTACACTTAATTTGGCCCATTTTAGTATATCAACAATTTGGTCGACAAAATTCCGCCTAGGACGTCCCTTTTCGACTCTTCCATTCACTTCTGCAACATATATTTGCTTTGTCAGTCTTTCCGTATTCATTCTTTCTACAAGACCAAACCAAACCGAAGCATTCCCTTCTTAATCCTGGTCACTGCACCTCACTTTTCTCACCCTATCTAAATTACTTTTTAATTTTCAATATTTTTGTAATAATTACCTTATTGTGACTTATGTATAAGAAATAGGCTGTTTTAGGTGGAGAAAAGACCTACGTTTTTGTAGAATGTTGTATTTACGTATCACTAAACATTACGCCAGCGCACGCGGATAAATCAGTTCTTGTTAAAAAGCAGTGCGTGTCAAGAATAAAGCAGTCAGTCCTTCTGTTTGTACCGGCTGATCTCCGAAACAGCTGGACTGATTTTGACGGGACTTTTACTGGCAGATAGTTGATGTTATTAGAAGTAACTTAGGCTACTTCTATTTTCGAAATAAAATTAGGATTCCGAACAAAAATATTACTAATGCCCATGAAAACCAATCGTATTATTATCACGCAGATGAAGTCGGAATTCGAATTCAAAAGACGCCGCTGCCCGCTCCTGGTTTGTTTCCTTCATTCATCTTACAGTTAAATTCTTAATCGAGGATAAATGTAGGAGTCTGTGAGCTACAGCATCCACTTACTGTCAGGTATAATGTAGGAGTCTATGAGCTACAGCATCCACTTACTGTCAGGTATAATGTAAGAGTCTATGAGCTACAGCATCCACTTACTGCCAGGTATAATGTAGGAGTCTTGAGCTACATCATCCACTTACTGTCAGGTATAATGTAGGAGTCTATGAGCTACAGCATCCACTTACTGTCAGGTATAATGTAGGAGTCTATGAGCTACAGCATCCACTTACTGTCAGGTATAATGTAGGAGTCTATGAGCTACAGCATCCACTTACTGTCAGGTATAATGTAGGAGTCTATGAGCTACAGCATCCACTTACTGTCAGGTATAATGTAGGAGTCTATGAGCTACAGCATCCACTTACTGTCAGGTATAATGTAGGAGTCTATGAGCTACAGCATCCACTTACTGTCAGGTATAATGTAGGAGTCTATGAGCTACAGCATCCACTTACTGTCAGGTATAATGCGTACTCATTTGTAAACCTGACTAAAATAAAAATATTATATTAAATTTTAAGAAAACTCAAAAAACACTCTGATGATTTAAGAAAGAATTATACTGGCAATCCTGATAAGGATACTAAAGTAAAATTATTAAATTGTTGTATTTTCATTAGTCCTTAAATACGAGAGCAAATGTTCAAGCCATTCAAAAGTCTACAAGTTGTTGAAAATTACATTAAAAGATTCCGTTACATAGATAAGATAGATATAGATACACGCCAAGCTAATAAAAATGTGTCAAAAATAAAATAAGTATCATTCAAAAGTTATAAAAAAGTTTTTTTTTTTTTGATAAATCACACATTGCTTTATCGAGTAGTTATCGACTTGTAAAAACCAAACATAATAATCAACCAAACATAATATCCTTCAGCGTCCGACGGAGACGCGTCAGCTTCTCCTGCTTTGCATCACAAATAGAATTTCCATTAATAATAAAATCCCGTTGTACTCCAACGGACATTTCCATAAAAGCGACCGTATAAATTAACGTAGACAAAGTTTTCCTGCTGGATTTGGTTTTGCTATACTCGAATATACGACGACGTGAAGTTTTAAATGTAATTATGTTAATTGTACCTCACCGTTCGCAGCTTGTGATTCCCTATATAGATTAGTTATACATATTCTTTGAATAAAACTACTTTTACGGATTTAATCACGTTTCATCATCATTACAGGCCTCACAAGTCCACTGCTGAACATATGCCTCCCCAAGGAATGCCACAAAGCACGGTCCTGAGCCACCTGCATCCATCGACTTCCTGCACGTCTTACCAGGTCGTCACTTCTTCTAGTAGCGGGTCGCCATACAATTTACCTACCGGTACGAGGCTGCCACTCGAGAACCTTTTTCCCTATCGATTGTCGGTTCTTGGAGCTATATGGCCAGCCCATCGCCACTTCAGCTTATTAATCTGTTATCGCTTTTAGTTGTACTTTTTTAATTGCCAACGTTTCAGGTGCTTTCCAGCACCCATGGTCACGAGAAACTAAAGGTGATTTCCCTATGTCAGAGTTAACCCGGAGTACCTTCAGCTTTTTAATTATTACTTTTGGTCCGATCTACCCAGAATAAACTTACTGTGTCTTGAAGTCTTGCAGTGGTATGCTTGGGTTTAGCTTATTTTTTTTTCAGAAATTTTAGAACTTGATATCGGCTTTTACTCGACTCCAAAGAGTTCAATGGGCAATGTATTATACACTTTTACAACAAAGTCCTAAATATATTCAGAAACTATCTAAAAAAAACTTTATTAAGCAAAAAATATTTAACTTGGTGTAATATACCTACTACTAAAGAGTACTTTATAGATATATAATATATAGAATAACTCCTGGAAATGAGGTGACTGCTACCATGCAGTTTCATTGTATAACATAATAATAAATTGTAAATTATTGTTATTATTATGTAATTATTTTTGTTTAAAATAATCCGCTAGGTTTCTTGCAGGTTCCTTACATGATAGATATTTTCCGAACCAGTGGTAAAAGCACATTAGTGACTTATGTTACGCCGATTGTATGAAAGATCATCACTTGAGAACGGCTGGACCGATTTTAATCATTTATTGTATGTGTGTTGAGTGGTTGATTCACAATCGGACCGGTAAACCGTAGGTGACAGTGGCTGTTGTCGAGATACAAAAATAACCCGTGCGAAGCCGCGGCGGATCTCTTGTTGAATGTAAAATTATTTTATTCTATTCTATTCTATTTATCATCAAATTCGCAGTGCGCCTGTGGACGTACCAGACTTGCGTGGAGTACGGCTGGTACCAGACAACGAGCAGCACCCGCCAGCCCTTCCTCTCCACTGTACCTCTACAGTACTTCCATCAGATGTGCAAGGATTTCTTCTCCACCTAGTAAGTACAATTTGCCACAGGCAACATTGAAAATCAGAGTTTGTATTTTTGCAAATACACCTTTGCACATCCTGAGTGGCATTCCTTTTTGGTACCTCGCACCATTGCCAGGTGGATTCATACAACAGGATGATTAATGAATTACTACAAGCATATTATATGTTCTTGTACATGCACATCCACGTGCAAGCATAAGTATGTTTGTATATATATGTTGGTGTATATGTATGTACATATATGTCGCAGCTAGCTTACATAGCCTTTTAGCTAACAGCCTTGCATTTTCACTATCACGCAGCGGCCGGAATGACATACTGTCCATGGAGGTTAATACATTAATCTCTATGCATGTGTCCTATATTATATAAATAGGACAAGAAGCCCAAACCACTACTGTAGCTTTGAGGTCCAATTGTATCAGACGCGTCGCCTGAATATCATTCAGCCGCTAGCTGAACGGCGCCGTTCAGTAAAAAGGATATGCTGTTAACTGAAAGGATAATTAAAGCTAGATGGCTGCTACGTATGTATTGTTTTTCTTATTTAACATTGTCTTTGTTTTGCTTTGTTGTGGTTTGGCATAGTTAATGACGGTAACAAAAGGAATTTTGTTTTTAAAACTGCATTTGTTCACCATCTGTATTTTTTGGGTTTTGTTATTTAATATTTTTGGGGTATTATTGTTGTATTATTATTATATATATTTTGTATCTATATGCCAAATAAATGTCTCTTTATTTCTTTCTTTATACACCAACAATACTCCTATACAATATTTTTCTAAAAATGTTATTAGTGGAATAAAACTACTTTTAAAGTCTGCTCTGCTCATATTATAGACAGTCCCCGAAATTATATCAGATTTGATAACCACCAATCTGACACTGACAACGCATCTGCATGAAGATTGATGTAGATGTCTATGGACCGCAGCACCCACTTACCATCAGGTGAACTGTGTGCTCGCTTGTCACCATTATTCTATAAAAAAATACTTTTTGAAATAATCATAAGCTTATGCGTATTTGCATTTAAAGGCGAACTAACTTCTTCCTTGTTTTTTTTTATGATTTTTGTTTTTTTTAATCATCACTTCAACGTAATGAACTTCGGATGTGTCATGAAGCCGTTGCACATAGATCAATTGCACATGAACATCAAGACCCGTTTTGTGGGTCATACTAACACTTGCTCTCAGCGGGATTCGACCCTGCAGTGCTGAAGTCAAAATCCTAACAACTGTGCTACCTCTAAGCTTTTCAAAATCTTTTGCGCTGTTAATCTTTTTAAAAATTTAACTTAAACAAAAGGAAACCCTTGCATAATTTTGATTTTAATAATTTATAATATACATTTTAATATTCATAGAGAGGTAGCACTCAAGTGACTCTACTTAAAACAACGCTGTGAAGCGGGATTTAAAATAATTACTTAGTTATTTTTACAAAATAAACGTTTAAAAAAAAGAAAAAAGAAAGAAAGAAGAAGAAAAAAAATATAAACACACAGTCTACCAATTAGGACTCCAATTAGTACTCCAATTAGATGTGACGGTAAATAACGTGGCCGACAGACCTACATCTGTCCATCCGCCATTAAAAATCAATGTAGATACGTTATCAACCCTGAGTACTAAGATGAAATGCCTTGGCTCCAGTGAAATATATTTATAATAATAATGCTTTTAGTGGTTATGCAAAATAATATAAGCAGTTTGCTTTATGAAACTAATAGCGACATGCTCCGTATTCGCTCGGATGATTTTGGATCTCGACTACATGCGTGTATTATACATATAAACCTTTCTCTTGAAACATTCTATCTATTGATGAAAAAAGCATCAAAATCCGTTGCGTTTAAAAGATCTAAGCGTACAGGATGCGACTATTTTATAGAATAAGGGTGACAAACGAGCACACAGTCCACCTGATAGTAAGTGGATGCTGTGGCCCATAGACATCTACATTTATCCTCGATTAAGAATCAAAACGCAGATGCGTTGCCACCCCTGAGGACGAAGATGGAAGGCCTCGTTTCCAGTAAAAAGATCTCGAGTTTCTACACTCACCATACGAAACATAGAAGCATTAAGCTATTTTACGCTGGTATTCTGTGAGAGCGTAGTCCTTCCCCAGTCCAGCCGACCCATTCCTGCTACAACCATAATATAGCTGCAACGTGGCTCTACCACGTACGAAGACGACTTTGTTTAATACTACGTAGACATACGAAAATCTTAGCATACGGCATCTTAAACTTATCGAGAGATAAAAATAATTTAAATCAAACGCAATAAGAACCCGTAAAAGTAGTTATTCAATATGTTAGTATCCTCGGCTTTCGTCTCCGGCTTACTGTGCTGTACTGACACGATACACAATATTCAGTACAAAGTACATTAGATCTATGTCTACTATGTGGGCAAAAATTATATCGAACTTAACGTGTTAGTTTCACAAATCAACAAACAATTAACGTATCCGTTAACTAAAATAGAAAAGCTACAACTTATATGAAGCTTATTAACTTATTTGAAGCGACAGTAGCCTAATGGCAGGGTGCAGATCGCGAAGTCAAAAGGTCGTGGGTTCGAATCTGCCATTTGACTCTGTCGTGAACCACTCCTAGCACGCGTTTCAAGCTTACCAGGAGTGGTTAAAAAGAATATTAGTAATCTTAATTAAAATTATTACTAATATTTTTTTTGAAAAAAAATCCGCTATTGACGCTTGAGAGAACAATGGAGTAGTTAGTCTTCCGCACTTCTCCAGTGCGCGTTGATGGAATCCGCGTTTCGGTTTTTTACGATGTTTTTCTTCACCGCCGAGCACATGGTATAATGGTACTGTCACTACAATAGGAAGCATAATAATTAGTGCCGGCGGAGATTAAAGCCCAGGTTACTCTCATACTGTGATATTTTATAACTCTATTATTACAACAATAATATTTACTTAAATAACTATCTAATAAACATTTAGCCCGACCACAAATTGACGCACGGAACGTAACCGCGTCCACAAACATCGCTCCTTGGTTTGTGTGCACTTAAAAGTAAAATATAAATCTTGTTGTCTACAATATGCGGAGACGATGCATGCGATAACGCTTATTCGAGGCGTAGTTATTGATCTTAAAGGTTCTTAAATACCTTATCCTTGTTTTATGTGATGTACTCAAAATCACTACAATATTAATGATCGACGTCGGTGTATCTTTGTTACAGATGCTAATCAATGGAATGTAATAAAAGTGGTTCTATATTCGACGCGTATGTTTTTTCTTGTTTGTTTGCTGAATTCACGTAGTCGGCTGAACCGGCTTAATTATTTTTCTTTTTGTTAAATGCAAACACTACCATTTAAATAGGAAGATAAAGTTCCACCCGTATCAAGTTGGCTAAATAGAGTTAGAAGAGTTTATAGTAACTATTTAGTCAACATTCTAGTTGTTACCTTGAGCTTGTGATGAGGGGCTTTATTTCATCTTCATATCTTTATTTCATATCATATGCCTTAGGGAAATTATGTTATTCTTTTTAATTCATGAAGTCGTTTTTACTTTTTGAAGTCGAGTTTAATTTCCTTAAGGAAGATTTCATGCAATTTGACACAGTTTATTTCTATTCCTCACATGACTGTAGTCTAAAGAATAAATAAATTAATTAAATAATTTATCTTTCTTCACAAAACCTAAATTAATTACATATGGAGTTGATTGGGGTCTCCATTTAAGCAAGTAATACCTGTGTTTGGAAACCCACACACAGGGCAGGCAGGACACAAGGGCAGCTCTTCCTTATCTAAACATACATTTATTAATTCTAAAAACCAAAAATAACAATAACTAATTACTCTATTAAAGGAGATATATAAGAGATTTGCTTTGATTGTCGTGTGGTAATATGTGGTTAATGTGGTGTAAGGGAATAATCATCATCATCATCACCACCCCATTTTGTCCCGTAAATGTGGAAATTGCACAAAATGTCGGTAACATAAAATATCCATATCTTCCCCGATCAGATTCGAGTATGAGAACTGCCATCATCTATCCGTCTGGCGAACATTAATCCTGCTAGGCAATCCTTACCTATGATGATGATACATGATTGGTATACATTCATTTATTGAATTTGACTTCATGGCCGGTAATGATTTTTCCAGTCGTCTTCTAAATTAACATGGGGTATACATTCTCTTACGCAAATCCTACAAGGCAGAGTCACTAAGCCGCACAAACCACAATTTTCTATATGATAAAGTAATTTTGTTTACAGTTTCGACGAGAACCTCCTTCGATCGGGAATACAGCGTACAAACCTTCTTTTCGGTGGACTGTCACATTTGCCGGACTACGTGGTGTCTGTAGCTGGCGGACACGATCCCTGGTCACCTATGGGGCCCAATGTAACAAATGCAACGCCTTTGGCACCTGTTTATGTGGTGCCTATGGTTTCCCATTGTCGGGCTATCAGGTAATAACTTAATTAATTATACTCTTAATGTCTAAAGATAAATTAAATGTTCGCCTCATCCCCAAGCTTGGTATATTTTACATGTAGAAAACATACAGGATAGTAGAATCTTGTATCACACACAGAATATTCATGATTGAATATAAACAAATTGCAGACCTACAGGCGACAGTGAGACAGAAGAATTGGAAGCGACGAAGCAAGCAGTTCTACGCAACATGCAGGAGTTCCTGGACGGTAGACTGCCCACGCCAATCGAAAGCTCGGCAGCCACATTAACTCCGATTGCCTTTACTTTGGCTATTACTATTATAACTTTGTGTAATTGGAAGTTTGTTTTACTATAGTATTTCTTTTATTATTATAATTATTACATATTGATTTATTGAAACAATATAAATAAAATATTTTGAAATAATCAGCTCTTTAATTATGACTAAAAATGCTAAATATGTATTTAAATAAGCATGGTACTGCGAACAAAAACAAATCAATCGTTAGTTTGCCATTTTAGTGAACACTAAAAATACTGATATGAATGAAAATGTACGTGGTCCTTCACTGCTGGCGTTATGATCAAACTCAAGCGACCTTGAGTTTTCTCATGTGACCGTAAGTGTTATAGGCTTAAAAACGAGGATATCCGCAGTAGAACCAGAGTAACCGAAATTGCTCAACGGATTAATAAGCTGATGTAGCATTAGGCCGGCCATCTAGCTCGAAGAACTAACAACCGATGCGGAAGGAAGGTTCTCGAGTGGCAGGCGAGGCGATGCAGGTGGCTCAGGACCATACTTTGTGGTATCCCTTGGGGGAGGCCTATGTTCAGCAGTGGACTTGTGAAGGGCTATAAAGAATAAATTAATGAAAATGTAAATAATGACGGTGATTCCCATTGATATTCCCTCCTTGCACGTTCCACGCGTAGATCTGTGTCATCGATCAAAATTGCCTGAAATAAGAAGTTTCCTCACACTTTTATACGAAATTCTATTTGCTACACAAATTTTAGGCAAACTAATTTTTTATTTAGTTTTTTTAAAAAAAAGATAGTAACATAAAAACAACCAGCTGGTTCCAACGAAACGATTGACAGATTGCGCTCAATTTAGGCTGGGTTCACATTTGATTATCTTTGCGTATTGTTTTATTGTCGTGTGAACTACTACGTGTATCATAATCGATAGTTACACTGCATATGTATCCTCGTATCAGGTACACGTATTGTGATCGATTGAATGGACGCCTTGCGATATTGTATTACAATGTCACATCTCTTGTCGGTTTTTCTACAACTATCAAAGGGTACATGCAGCTACTCGTTCTGGAAAGTTTGGACGACGAGAAGATAAAATATTAAAGAATTTTTAGCATCTTCATAGAGGAGAATAGAATAATTTTATTCAGTATAAATAACAAGTTATTCTCATTAAAAGTCATGTTTAACTTTTTTACTTTTAGCGTTGGTTCGGAAAAGACCTTTTCATACCATCAAAAAAAAACCATAATATAAGGAACGGCATGCTGATATGCTGACATAATGAGATATGGTTAATAGGGACGCGTTTGTTATCTCGCTAGTGATACGATATAGTCGAAAAGGGCATTCATACTCAATAAACAAGTACTTGATACGATACACGTGCTCAAATACGTCAAGATTGTCTAATTAATAGCTTTAGATACAGTAATTAAAAATAGATCTCTAAACCTATGAATAATTTAAAACATCTCAGCGGTTTTTCAAATTACGAATTACCGGTTTTCAATTTAAAGAACCCTTATGATTTTGGAATCTGAATTAACCCCTTACCTTTAACTGCAGCTATATAGCAGTGTTTGCCTGTGTTCAGGTCCTCAGGTGTGACTACACATCTGTAGCCTTCATTTTATAAAGTTGGCTCCGGATACCCCCGAACTGCAGTAGCCACTTACCATCAGATTGACTGTTCGTTTGTCACTTTATTAATTTAACGTAAATTTTTATTTATTTATTTTATCTTCTAGGGAAACATACATAATTTTAGTCTATTACATAACACATATTAATCTTACATTTACCAATAAAGTTTCCACAGTTAAGACATAATAAATTCATTATATATTCCTCTGTCCCCACAACATCAAGCCTACATTCAATTATGTTATCATAACGATACGTAGATCATTACTACAATATTTCACAAAGAAAACATTGAAGACATCGAATCGCTTTTAGTGGTGTAGAACCCTAAAAGGCAAAACAAATACTAATTACAAGGAAATATATTATGGAAGTTTACACAGAATTGAATTAGTAACGTAAATTATGTTACAAGATTGTTTATAACATTTTGTAATACTAATTGAATTCTCAATTTGTGTTTGTGAAATTATGAAATGGAAATGTATAACTTTAATTAATTTTGGCTACGAAGTACGAAAACTTAATTAGTAGATATAAAGAAAACTACTTATTACGGCTATTCGGGGGCGCCTTTTAATTACGTGAGGTGTTGAGGAAAAGGGATCAAGGCAAATCTCACCCAATCTCACGGGAAGAGATGGAGGGTTTCTGCAAATATCATGTTATTTATTTTCACAAGAAACAGAGTAAAATTTAGAGAAAATGGGATTAAGTTAAGTAAAATATGGCTAAATCCTACACAATAATATATTATATTACATTTTTTTATGCAAACCCAACACAATCAAGCACAGAATAAACGTTTTCAAACTTAAAATACACATTTTGATAAAATGAGCGGTCGAATTATATTTCACGACATCTCACAGGTGGATGGAGGAGAGTGCAAATATCGACAAAATCGCCTTACGTAATTGGACGCCCCCTTAGCAAGGTGAAATTTACAGCTTCATCGGCCGTTCTTTTTAGGTGTCGAAGTCACACTGCTGTATTACATCTTTAACACGAATGTGACGACTTGGCCGAGAAAGAAATATGCTTTTACATTTTACATGGCAAAACCATGCTGCCACTATATAGTTGTAGCACGAATGCGTTGGCTCGACAAGGAACACAATCTCACATAGCTGTTTAAAATGGCAGCAAAGAGCTATTGTTTTTCGTATGGTGAGTGTAGAAAACCGGAGAAACTTTTTACTAGAGACGAGGCATTCCATCTTAGTTCTCAGAGGTGAGAACGCATCTGTATTCCCGTTAGCTCGCAAGGTCACGTAATTTGACACTCCAGTTCGCTCGCGACCGTGGAAATTGCAAATGAAATTTTATTTACAAAACAATATTTATGGATAAAACTTACAGGAATTCTTCTTGAATGTATAAACTATCGAATTAAATAATTTTTACAAGTTATAAATATAAAAAATCATAAATTACCCTTGCAAAGTATAGTAGTAGTAGATACTTTACTTTTAGTCTAAAAATACTAATAAAATAATTTCTACACGTTTGTTTTTTTAGAGGTCTATATCAAAATGTTTGGAAATATGTATATTTTTATGTTTTATGTGTTTTTATTCCTTACTCATACAAAACATAAAAATAAAAGAAAAATTCCGATTTTTTTTGTATGTAATTTGAAACCATATTTCTTTAATTTTTTGTGTGAATTTGAAATAAATATAACGCCAAGTTATTTGAAATATGTTATTAAATAATTTTTATTTACATTTTCCACTAAAAATAAATGAGAATGGAAAAATAAAACATTTGTTTCCCAAACGGAACTTTCTGATTTCGAAATATTTTTTGTGCTTACTTTTCACTTTTTATGCCCCAAATTATATATCTACGTGTTTGTTATATTACAAAGAATACATTATAGTATAATATATACCTTTTTATTACAAAAACACCAGCAACGCAAACGCAGAAATTACAAAGCAACTAGTTCGCGCACTAGCGGTGTGAATAACCGTTACTTCAGAATGAATTTTTTGTTTTATTTTTAGGTGACATTGACAGATTACGGTATAAAATAAAAAAGCATATCTTTGTCTTGGTCTGTACTATACATTGCAGTATATCTTTGTTATAGTTTATAATAGACATCCTTTTTTCATAGGGTCGTACTTGGAACCGCTTGAGGCACAGGTGTGTGTCTCTCCCGAGCGGGCTCTCCCGAGTTTGTGGTGGAATATGTAAATGTCTGCGCGGGCTTTAGTATCCACTTACCATAAAGTGGACTGTCTGCTCGTTTGTCACCTCTATTCTAATAAGAAAAATATACGTCCTTCCGCAGGGCATTGATCTCCTCTCGTTTGTGAGAGGTGTAACTTTCTGCTGAACATGGGCCTCCCCATAGATTGCCTCTTAGGGGAGATATTTGTCATAGTGGCGACGCTTTTTAGGCGGTTTGACAACCGCAGAATTTTATTGAGATATTAAGGTGAAGATGATGCTGCCCACCTTCTGCTTCATTTCCTTCTGTCGTCTCTTACAACACATACGGGGTGATATAGTGTAATGAATTCTATTACGCCACAGTGTAATGGCCAGAGCTGTTACAATATTTTACAAAGAAAACACGAGTTCTAGCTAGCGACAAAATCCTGTACTCTACCACATAAGTAAGTCCTTACTCTTTACACTGTGACTCTACTACGTTATATGGTGGGAATTGTTGATGAAAACATTACCCTCAAAAAATGAAAATGAAAATCCCTAATTTTATATAAAATTAAGGATTTTCGGATCTTTTCCTTTACTTGTGCTGAGACCTTGATTCGTGCCAAATTTCAAGATTCTATATAGCTATAGTTTGTGTTGGGTGAGTTTGCGACATTGAAGCAACATGTACTAAGTACTAGAACAGACACCGCAGACAAAATCTAAGCAGCACGGCTTACATTTTGTTTCCGAGCCTGTGGCCCGCTCGCGGTCCGCGTGCTCAGAGGCTCGGAGTATATTTTTGGCACAGACTATATACCAGGTCTGGGCGTCTCTTCTAGTACGTAGTATATATAAACCCACGGTATCAATTTCTTTGATTCCTTGGAAAACTTACACTCTAAAAACCTCAACATTTTAATAATAAATACTGCCATTTTTACACAGTGTAATGTGTAATAAACGTAAAAGAAGACAACGCATCTATATTTTGATTCCTAATTTATAAATATATAAAAAATAAAAACAGAAATATGACAAATTTTTTGACACTATGGTTCCGCTAAATATCAGCGCTGCCACTTTCCACGGTATAACAGGAGCCGATGAACATATTATTCTAATCTTATTTCTTGCTTATTTACTATTTTATAGCATGAATCGGTCTGCTCGACAAGAAAAGGACTCATAGAATACCAGCGTAATAAGAGCTTAATGTTTCGTATTGTGTATGTAGTGAACCGGCGACCCTTTATACCAGTGATGCACAGACTC